GGCGTTCTACCAAGCTAGTAAAGGATTTGGAGCATGTCTCGTATGAGGAACACCTGAGGGATCTGGGGCTGTTTAGGCTGGAGAAGAGAAGGCTGAGGGGAGACCTTATTGCTCTCTACAGCTACCTGAAAGGAGGCTGTAGCGAGGTGGGGGTCGGTCTGTTCTCCCTTGTAACTAGTGATAGAACAAGGGGAAATGGCCTTAAGCTGCAACAGGGGAGGTTCAGGCTGGATATTAGGAAGAGTTGCTTTACTGAAAGGGTTGTTAGTTATTGGAACAGCCTGCCCAGGGAGGTGGTGGAGCCACCATCCCTGGAGGTGTTTAAGAGACAGGTGTATGTCATACTTAGGGACGTGGTTTGGTGGTGTGAATAGAGCTAGGACAAAGGTTGGACTCGATGATCTTGAAGGTCTCTTCCAACCAAAACTGTTCTATGATTCTAAGTCCAAATTTGTTCTCATAGCCTCACTTTCCTCTGAAGGGTGAATCAGCTTTCCTGCTGTATTCTACGTTGGTGATGCCCGAAATTGTTATGAAATTGCATCTATACTTAAAAATGGTTCTTTTGTTGTGGAACAGTTAGCCAGTCTGGCAGTATTTCCCATCTTCTGAAGTGAGGGGAAGGAATTCCTCCTGCAGAAGAATGCTCAAAGGAGAGTCCAGTACATGGGCTTGGTCCCCTCATTATAACTCAAGCTGTGACTTACAAAATCTTCCCTTTTCTGCCATGGATATTGAGGCTAACTTCATTCAAGCTTAATGTTTTTTGAGTGACTGGACTTTGTAGTAACAGAGAAAAAGTATAAAACCCAATCTGTAGGACTTTTTTGAAAAAGAATGTGACCATCGTGGAGTAGTTTAAACTTTGTAGACGGACTATGTCAGGAAAGATAAGTCAAACACTAGGGAAGGTCTCTTCAGTCACATAATTGAGAGATCAAGTAAGACAATGTAAAGTCTACTAGGAAGAACAAAGGTGCCGTAGATCTATTACAGAAAAAAATTCAGCTTACTGAATATACAGTAATTCAGAAACAATGTACTTCAATGGTGTTTCATAAATTCGAGAAGGAACAAGGAAAGGAACTTTTTTTGATGACAGTGGATTCACTTAATAATACTAAAACAGCAATGAGTAGTAGTGGATTAATCCATCACTGACTTTGAACAAACATTTTCTTTACACAGTGAGTATCTGCAAACACGGACCATAGATCACTGATGAGATAAAGATATAAGTGCAGCCAAGGTTCAGAGAGGTATCTGGGTAGCATTTACTTGTCTTCTAAAGGTGATTCAGTTCATACCTCTGTGAATGAAATTACTTGTCCTTTGTACTAAATATATTTGCAGTAAGGAATCAAGGAAACAAAAGGTAATCTATATTTTGAACAGAGCATGTAGGACAGACTCTATGACACTTCCCTTAAGTCTGTGAGACACAAACTTGAAGGGAAATATCTGGCACAATATGTAGTTGCCATGGATTTCAGCGGAAGCTGAATGGCAGAAACACTGCACATTGTTCCCTTGTAAACCTTGGGTGAAATACGCAGTACCTGTGCGCATTAAGTTTTATTTGCTAAGAAAGCCTGAAAAATCTGTGTAACTTCTATTCCCTTCATACCAAAAATATAGCAAGGACTGGGCACATGTTGAAAAATCAAGGCTTTAGCATCATAAGTCTGTGAACATGCTGCAAATGTGAAAGGTCGGATTATGCTAAGTATACATAACGTGTCTCCTGGTCCAAAAAAAAAAAAAGAGTTTCTTTTACTGATGACTTAAGTTGCACAAAGCATATGCCTGATTTGAGTTTTCAGTTAGGTGTGCAATAGGCACTGCAGCATCTCTTGTACGGGGTATATCTCACAGTCACTGAGTAGAGACGCCACCAATTCACAAGAATATTTGAGGTGTGTCAGTTGTATCACTTTCTGGCCTTTCAAATGGGAGAAAATTGCAAAATTGGTTGGGTATAAAGCCAACTGAAGAATGAAGAGCCTTGCAATAGCTGGTAGGCTCTACAGCAGAGATGACAACAGAAATGAAAATCAAAGTAACTAAAGTCTTCAGGCTTTCTTTCCCTGGCTACTCTGAGATTTTACAAATAATTAAAGGAGACACAAGTGCTGTCTAGGATGAACAAGGTCAGAAACTGTTTGAACATAAAATGCTAGACAGGGTAATGTAAAGTTTAAACTAATCCTGGGAAAAAATGTGCAAGCTGGAAAAGGGATAACCTTTTGTTTTCTGTTTCTCTCTCTCCCTTTCAACAGCTTATTTCTGCATTTCGTTTGTACACCCACCTTTAGCTTCATGTAAACCTTGGAACAAGGATGGACCCAACCCTTGTGGCCATCAGCCAGACACAAGGTACTGCTCCTTGGAGGCTGAATTCTCACTTCAGCTCATTTCAGACATCCTGTCAATCCACACCATGCATAATCGTACAGGTTTAGACCCCAGCAACTTGGAGTATCTTTACTTACTGATCATAACAGACACCGTGTTCACATTAGGGTTGAAAGAACAGCGTCCCTTGCCTGATTCACACTTGGAGTCGATCTTGAAGATTTGTTCCTGCAACATAGATTTGTGTGTCACTTCTCATTTTAGAAACCATCAGACATAAAGCGATTTTTATGCTTGTCTGTTTCCTGCATTAACAATGCTCAGCACTGCTGGGCACTTCTGCGGTACTATCAGCAGTATAGCTTCCCTATTCAGAATTTCATCCTCTTTTAAGACAACATTTTCATTGATAACCAGTTATTTTCAAGACTTTTGTTATAAATTCAAGACACTGAAACAAAGAATTTTTCCCTTTAGATCAGTTATGCTTTGGAGAGGTTCACTGATCTCTGCAATAATATCTGTGGAGATCACGTCTGTGTTTTTGAAGTTATTTATCATTTATTTGCTGAATACATGTGATGCTTCTACTAGTCTAGGACATTATAATAAAGCTATCAGAACAGTAATACATATTAAATAAAAATATCTTAACTGTCATTTGGTGATAGTATAAATAATTTGCTCTTTACTGATCTATCAGATCTCCAAAATCCCCTAAATAATAGTTATTTTCTTCAATACCATCTCTTGGATTATGTGTAGAGCTCCAATTCCATAGTGACAGACAATTCATCAGTATCTCTTGCCATAGCCTGAAATATCTGAAATTTTTTGCTGTTAAGGAATCTTGGTATGGGGTTTCATTTATATTTTATGTGATTTATAAATATGAAATACATTTGACAAAGTAAAAGCAACCTGGACTACAGCTTGAAATACAAACAGTCTGAATATCTTTATAAAATTCACCCATCTCGGTGCACCTCTTCACTTCTTTGTTCCCCGCAATACTGAATAGCACAGTATGCTGAGCAAGAGGTGGGTTGTGTCCAAGTCCATTCCTTAAAAACTGCAGTCAGTAACGGCAGAGACATCAATCCATAGCACATCAACTCGCATACCATTGTCTATCAAACATACAACTTGTTCCTAGCGTCCTTTAACAAACTTCTAATCTTTAATAAAAGGCTAAGGCCAAAAGACACAATTGCAAGGGAAAAAAAAAAAAACAACCAAACTTCAAACAGAAAAAGTTAGCTGACAAAAATACCAAAGAAAGCCTTCTGTGGTGTAGATGCCAATGTATTAGTTATTCAACTAAGGGCAGTAACTCTTTATATTCCCTTTCACAAGTAATGTACATCACAGGGGAATGGGGACGTCACACAGATCACTGAGCAGCCATTTGGCGACAGCAAATTGTAGACTCCACCAACCTGAAATGCGCAGCTACAGCAGGAAGTTTTCATATCCATTATCTCCCATCTCTTTCCCCCCTCTTCTGTTTTGCCTAACTTAATTACAGAGATCTTATCTGTTGTTTCAGTAATAAGCTCTCTAAACAATGTTAAAACATAAGTATGAAGGTTCTAATATGACCTGTTTTTTTTTTTCACTGTTTTTCTTCTAAATTAATATCCAGCTTGATGTTAATCCGTATTTACTATATTATACCACTATTTACCAATTCAAAATGCCCATTACTGCACTAGTAAACTAGCTCCAGGATTACACTTGATTTTCATATATATTAAACTACTTCTCAGTCTATAATTAATTCACATAGTGATTACACTTCCTTCTCTTTGCATTTACTTTGACATTAGAGTATACTTGGGGGACTAAGAGAGTCATTACCAAAGACCAAAGTATCAAGTGTGCCAAGCAAGAAAATTAATTATTTTTGAAACTCTGTTTTAGGGAAAAGGGCAACATTCTGCCTCATCAATGAAACCGCATTTTTTGTGAGATTGTGTGGAATCCTGGAGACAAAAGAGCAAACCAGGCCCAGTTCTTAATGACTGTTGGATATGACTTACTGTCAGGCTTTGTAGCTTCTAGAGAAAAACAGATGTGCTTTCTAAAATATCCATTTTGCACGTGCAAAACCAGCCTTCTGTGCATGGAAAACTATACTAAATTAAAGGTGAAATTATAAAAGCAGAGAAAAAAAAATAGTTCTCACTAGTCCCATCAGCACTATATAGTTCTTTATTCTGCTCTATTAATTAGTCTTGCACTGATATATTCAATGAGTTCAGAAGGAAATGCTTGGTTTTAAACTGTTATGCTATTGTTGGCCTGTACAGTAACGGCTTTGAGTATGCGTTGCCTACAGTCAAGTATCTGACAGGCTCCAGACGTCTGAAACAGCAGTTTATTTAATCAATTGATCATAGGCATGTAGCTATACAGACAGGCTAAGTGAAGCCAGTTCTGCTCTTCCAAGACATGCATCTTTATTTTTAACTTAAGAAATCTAACATCTTGCATCATCTGGAGATGTCATTTCCCGCCCTCCCCCCAATCTCATTTATAGAAACACTAAAAAAATGAGATTCAGAGTTCTCTAGGCTACAGTACTACTACTTAAGCTGATAAAGGAATATTGCATTAATTAGAGACAAACGAGACCACTTTCCCTGTTTTAAATAATTTGTCAAGAAATAGGATAATGCTGAGGAAAACTGACCTCTGTTTCAAAGTACATCAAAATAAGTTAATGCAGACCCTGTTAACCAGAAGGATGCATTTACTTATTCAGCTCTGTTTTCTTGTGCTTTTAAATCCAAGCCTATGAACCTCTATTGTTAGATAATTCATTAGGACTGAAGGTGCAGTGATTCAGACTAGACACTGTTAAGGAGGCTGGAGCCAGGTAGGGATCTACCAAAAGTCATTGGGATCATCCCATGCAAACCTAGATGGAGAAACAATGATTTATCACCTCCTTGGCAACCTCTGCAGTAGTCTTGGGTCTTAGCCAGAATTCCCATCTCACTCTCATGAAATCAGTGATGAATTTTGCAGTGTCGTCCCTAGGAGCCAGCCCAGCTTTTAAAGCTGCCCTCACATGGCAAAACTCCAAGTAACATGCTCTGATCTTCCTTCCCAACACATCTGCTTCCATATTGTACAGGAAAAAATATTGCACACCCCTGAGCCTGCAGACATGAATCTGACCCAAAAACAATTGAGGTGCTGGGTCTCAGTTAAGTGCTTTTTTTTCTCCTTCTGGTTGCTTAATTTATTACTTATTACATTTGCACATAAACAAACATTTCACTTTCAAATCAGGAAACTTGGACAATATACTTATGAAACGTCTGGGACTTTGTATACTGAAAATACACAGTGAAATTGAATATAGAAAAACTGGAGACCTATCTAAAGAAAAGAAGATTTATACCCTGGATGATCTCAGAGTGATTAGAAAACTTATCAACTTCATCCCAGCAGAATCTAATGGGGCAAAACTTGTGCAGTAGACGAAAGTTACCTGTACTGGGATTGCATCTAGTGGGTATTAAGCTGAAGTCCAGGAAACCTTCACATATCTGAATAGTTAGTCCACCTAAGGGCTTCTCCCAGGGACCAATAACACATGAAAGTTATAAAAAGTGGTCTGCATATTTTACTTTTTATCTAACTTTCAAGTATTTCTTGGTTATTTTCCCCCAAAAAATGTAGGAATGAATGGTAGGAATGAATTCACCATTCTGGTAGGAATGAATTCACCAGACAATGTCAAATAAAAAGTAGTATCAAATGTAGCCCAGTATCTGGTATGAATGTGGAATTTTTGAAAATGATCATATTTGAGGCATGGCTTTTGATCACGGTTTTGTTTCTAGCTGGTAACAGGTCAGAAAACTATGGATCTTTGGGTTTTTTTCTGTTTAACATGGGTGAAGGAACCTATTTGGATCATTGATTTTTGCATTTTCAAAATTTTGAGTTTTGCATAACACTGGTAAGATGCATCACAAAATGAATGGATAAAAGGAAAAGAGACTTACCTCGGACCTGCGCCCTCTGTTGACATACACACACACGGGGCTGAAGGCACCGCTGCCACAGACGTACAGGTGTGTTCGATTGTATGACTGTATCACACGCACAAAATTTCCACATCCGTGCTGCCGGGAATACAGAAAAAAATAATTTCACATTGGCAAATGTTATTAGATGTTGGGAACTCTAGGGAATAGATATGGTTTATAATTTTAATAGTATCATGAAAACGGCTACTGAGTTTGGTAGTCTCTGGATTTGAACAGCTGCAGGCTTTTCTTTTTCTTTTCATGCCATTTTGCCTAGTCTGGGAACCGGCCATTGATAAAGCACTATAGAGGAGTTATAAAGGAGGGCTTGTAACTTTCCCATTTCCACAATCTAATTTTCATCCACAGATTTCTCTGTACTTTGCATGGGAAGAAGCAGGGCCTCTGCAGGAAAACAAGAAGTAACCTTATGAAGTTTCGTTACGGGCACCTCCAAAACAGTCTTTTTTTAACCCCTAATTTTTTCCATCATAACTGGAGATAATTAGAAAGCAAAGCAAGCCCAAATCTCAGATCTCATTATTTGTATAAACAATTTATTTCCAAGACTTTAAACCTCTGCACAACACAAAGGAAGTTTGCACTGAATTGTTGCTTCATATTGAAGATCAGTGGTAATATCTTCAAATCAGCATGAAAATTAAAACAGAACGTTAAGGGCACACAGTTTCACACCATTGGATTTAGTTTTCTCCTTCCAGCATATCCTTTTCTTTTCTTGTTCTTTCCTTTTTTGACTATATTCAACTGTTAATACACTTGAGGTTGAAAGTTGGGCTTTTTTCTGAATATTTTTTCCTACTGAGATCCCAGAACTGCCTTTGTATTCTATCACTCAAACCTTCACCAAGGAGAGAATTGCATGTGTTCTGTGAGCACAGGATTAGAAACGGCGTCATCAATTATCTTCTAGAAAATCAGTAGAGTTAAACCTTGTTTAGCAGGCTGCACTGTTTATTTATATTTAAAGTCATTCACAATTTTGGTTCATCATGAGCTGGTACCATATACTAAAACATCTGAAAACTGATGCATAACTAGGTAGTTCAGAGTTCATAGAAGGAGTTTCTCTACAGGGAACATTGCATATCCTCAGTTATAGCTATATCAGAAAAATCCTTTAACCCAGTCAAAATACATTGTTTCTCTAAAGCTGAGGGCTGTTCCTAAAAGTTTCCATTTTATCACATCCAGCTATCTTAGTTTGGCTCATAGATGGCTTCAATGGTGTCTTGATATCTAAACCGTGTTTTACTCAGCAGTACTGCTAATCCATATTACAGCTGTGGAAAGGGAAGGAGGACAGGTGAAGGTATACCACTAGCTTATATATGTCAGAGTGTAAGTCAATGCTTTCTTTTCTTGCTCTTTGCAGAAAACTTTTCTAGAAGACTCCTAGATAAAGGATTACATGCTGAGAAATTTCAGAATGAATGTCTTCAAGGATGAGGACCAGGAAACAAAGTCTACATGAACAGTACTGGTACGTGGCACTTGCTACTCTTCTTTGATACCATGCCATGTGCTTTCCAAAGTGTCTATGGCAAGAACACAGAGGTGATTAGATGAACAGCTCTTTTCTTTAAGCACAAACTTCTGGGGTAACCATGTGACACATACTGTGTCTTCATGCCTCTCCACTGACGATTTACAGACAGGTAACACAAGTTAGCTCAAGACCACCATTCTCATATTTTAATACTGTCCAGCAGAAAGACCATTTTATGATCTCTGAGCCTTTGATCATCTTTCTACTGTTGAACCACTGAACTCCATTTGCCATTTGCTATGTGATTGATCTGGGTACTGCGCTGTAACTCTGTAACCCAACAAAGCAAAAAATTGTTATGTCAAAACATATTCCGTAGGACTGCCATTCAAGAGCATTTATGCTTCAGTTTATTTCCCGTTCTCTGTCGGAGTATTTTGTGCTTTCACATCAGTCTGGTCTGAGGTGGCATGAGATAGTTGTCCTTAGGATGGATGTTTGTCAAAGGCAGTGGCTAAGCTGTAAATATTCACATACTGCCAGTGTTTTTCTTGGAGCTGATATCAAAACTCAGTAGCAGCGTCTGGGGAACTGCCTTACTGTAGACACCTGAAAGTCAGATATCTATGCCCTAGGATCTCATTCCAGTAAATGGAGAGAAATAGATGTCACACTAATGCAATCCTTCAAGTCAGCCTGGTGAACACACTATTTAGAGGCAACAATTTCTTTTCAGTAACGAGAAAGGCAGGCAAAGATGACAAATTCAGACACTGACTTTTGTCTAATGGTAGGGAAAATGACCCCACCCGCCTGAGTCTCCTTGAAAAAGAATTCGCTGATTGTATAAAGTCCTTTACTGGCTGCTCCAAGTCTATCTGTTCCTCTTTTACCTTGTGATAATCCCTGTTCTCTGATAGGCCAAACATTATCATGCATTCACCCCCTGCTTTTTTTTTTCTATTTGAAACTCAATTCTTCTGAATTCATTCTCTGCTTCTCCCATTATTATCAGGAATGAAACTTGCAAGAATGCTATTAAAATCAAACTATAGATTTTAAGTTGCAAACAGTAATTTAGCATCGGGTTCTCTTTTTCTCATTATTTCAGTAAGCTTTCAATACAACACATCATTGATTTTAGTGGGAGCAGCAGCTGCCTTTCAGTACCTTTTTTTTCTCTCTTTTAAACTCTTGAGGACAAATGCTAAGAAACTTAATGTAAACTTCTATTTTTGGAACTTAATTTTTCTTTTGCAACGCACAGCTGGGATTAAAAAAATCCGTTAAAGTTGATGCACATGGACATTCTTAATTAACTACATTACAGGATATTAGCTGTAACCACAATCAAACTGTTGTAAAAACAGAGGTTCTACCCAGAAATCTTTCCGCTAGTGCAGCAACATTTTGATACTTCAATATGATTAAAAGCTAGGGAACTTTCACCACTAAAAATCCAAAAATAAAAGCTCTCTGGAGAGTCCAGTACTTTGTAACGTCTTAGGTTTTTTTCCCATGGATTACATATTTTGCACACTGCTTTCTGCTTAGAGTATCATCTACATCATATGTTGGAAACATGACTAAGAGTAAGGAACTTCTGTATTTCAAAGAAAAGAAAATTCCTTAACCAGTCTATCACAAGCTGATGATGCAATTGACATAGTAACTAGGGTCAATATTAATCACCATTAATAAAGCTACGTTTTTATTTTCACATTCAGTGCTACTTAACAAGCCACTAGCTGTAGAATTTACTGCACCTGCAGTAACCAGAAGAATGTAAAGATGTATAGAAGCACAGGACATTCAATAGGAAAAATACTTGTTTTTCACTACCATAGCTATCAGGAAAAAAAGCAGATAAGCTGCCATATCAACCATAATATAGCTATTCTTAAAGCACTTCTATGTTCTGCAGCAATAGAGTAAATTACTCTCCACAGCTTTGAAAAAGCAACTATTACAGCAACACCTCAGTAGGCCAGCCTTCTGGTTTCCTTATATTCATCAGTGTTTGCAATAAATTTTCAAAATAAAGTCCACACATATTTTTCTTACAAAACAGACTGAGGTGAATTATTGTGACATTGCAGTAACCGAATTGCATGTCATCTGTAGGCTTAGTTAACAATAAAAATGTGTAGCTAAAATAAATAGAAATATTAGGCATGATTCTAAATTCAGCAGACTTTTGCATTAATCCTATTGTTTCTGAAATTAAAAGCTATATTTATATACACCTGCTTATGTCCTTTAATCTATCAATTATGATCCTAGATATATGCTGAGGAGTATGTTCCAAAAACGATTATACCTAATGTGAAGGCTTCTGATTTCCATACTTTTTTGTTCAAAACAAAATATAAGCAACATTTCACTGGTTTTGAGAAACTGCAATTTTCTCCCTCAGATTAGATTCTGAATTCTAATACTAAAATATCTGTTGGAAAACAGCTATATCTAAAGAGCTAAAAAGAAAACCAGGATAAAGACTTTTAGGTGCTGTTGAACTGGTAAAAAGTCAAAAGGTAGCTGAATAGAATTAAAATGTGACATTTTGCTTTTTTTTTTTTTTCCCCACAATTTAGCTGCCTTCTCTGAATAAAATCTATACAGACTGTAAATTCAAATTACTTTAAGAAGATAACCACGTTGATATACAACTCTGCCAAGGACAGGATCTGCTGTATTGTACCGCTCTCTGGGTCTTTCGAAATAGTTCATGTCTATCTATTGCCTATAAAAAGTATATGGAGAAATTGCCATCTGGTTTAGGTCCTTTGGAAGGTGTCTGCATTTAGTTGGCAGAATAATGAGCTGTGCTGCAAAATATTTCAACATAAGCTCTCCATGGTCCTGTGACTCCAGAGATCATCTTTACCTCTTTCTAGGAAAGCATACTGGTTTCCAGATACTTTTTTGGGCATTGTTTTGTGGAAATAATGGAAAGAGGTGTTCAGGGTGTTCCTCAGTGTGGGGTCTTCAGGCTGCAGGCAGGGTGTACCATCCACCTGTAGAGTCCCTTCCTGGGGCAAGCAGCCAGCCAGAGCACTTCCCCACTCTGAGCTCAGCAGGCTGTTCAGCATCATCTCACAGGACACATATGGAAAAGTACTATTACCTAGTTTGACTAGTAACAAGAAAAAAAAGGCGAGGAAGTGAACAATGCATATCTTTTTCCATTTGTCCAAGTCTGAAGGTGTATTCTGTTTACGCAGCCTGTTTTTGCATAATTTCATTTTATCATTTGGCCTGCAGAGTATTTAAAAAGTACATCAAACACGTCTTCATTTTATCTTGGCTGCACTCAAGGTGCTTTTACATTATTGCCAAGTATGTAATTTGTGTACGTGTGTGCCTGTGGATTATAACTTACTGTAGGATCTTTGCCAGCCATTTTGCACTCTTCAACCTTGTTTGCTGATGCTGGCCAGAAAATCTGTAAGGAAAGAAATACCTTTTAAGTAACATATTTATTTCACAATTTAAATAAAACATTTCACTACCTAACTTATACTAGTAAGTTAATATATTTATAAGGAAAAAAAGGATTTTCATTGATAAACGAAAACAACTTTCTGTCTTAGCGTGCAGTAAACAAAAAAAAAGGCCCAAGTCTTTGGCTGATATAAATTAAGTTTATTATATATTTTTTTAAGACAAGTTAATCAATTTATATAGATTTCTTTCTCCTAAAGAAGAGTTTTTCATCGTTATTGCCTGAATTGCTGTCCATCTTTTTACTTTTACTAAACTTCTAGAAATTATTCACACTAGAAATGAGAAGACTAAAATATTGCATGAAGGGTTCTTGTAGCAACTTTTCAGTTTTGACAGCAAAGGTTTGATTATGATAAAGCCTACTTAAAATCTTATGATTTCAGGCTGATTTCTTTCAGACAGTTTTCCAACAAACACCTCAACGTCTGAATGTTTATCTGAGCTATATTCAAACTCAAAAGAGTTTGCGCTTCTTCCATTATTTATTTTCATTTTGAAATAGAAAAGATATCCATTAGAAATCTCTCCCGAGAAGTTTAGTAGGTGACAAAGCCTGATAACATTTAGCCTCAAGATAACATAAATAATACCATTAAAAGATCTCTGTGTGTATATATATATGCATACCAATATATGCAGAGAGTTGTAGGTATGTATGCATATGCATATAGGGTTTATATGGAGGTATAAGATTAGCAAAGTGAATCTGTTATAAAAACAAATAAACAAACGAAAGAATGTGTGGGATTGCAGAGAATAATTCTGAGCCTAGTACTGGGTGATCACACTCACTGACAGAAAATCTTGTGTGTTTTTCATTCCTGTTGATTTTTTAGTTCTTGTATTTCCAGGCCTGAACAGACTGTTGAAATGCCTCAGCTTTATACTGCAGAATTTATTTCGTGCAACAGGCACCTTCCTATCTAACCAAACTCTGCTCAAAATTAAAACCGACCTGCTAAGGGAAGGCTGAAGCATGCCATGAGGAAGCACAGCAGCTCCCAGACAAGGGTGGCCAGATCACCAGTCAGCTGGGAATTAGCAAACAGGTCACACAAGCTATTTCAGATCAGAGAAGATGGCCTCATTTCAGAGGAAGATTTCTGTACCATTAGGAGGAGGAAGGATGTGTTCACGCCATCACACGAGAGGCATTTAATTTAAATGTGTAAGTTAGAGTTAGCTTCCCCTGACTCCCTGCACAATCAATTCAGGTAGACAGGCATGTCCAGAGGGTGATTCAGAGCAAAGCCTAATTTAACTGTGCTTAATCACCCTCCAGTGAAGCCTCTCACTCTCTCCTGACACGTTAAAAGCCTTGCCTCTCAAGGAAAACATTTCACTTCACTGCTGCAAGCTGGATATCTCTGCCTCTCAATACTCCTGAGGTACAGTAATAAAGCCCATAGACTAAAGGATAGGATAAATTTGGTAGAACAAGGCCTTTACGGTACACTTTAAAGTTGTAGCTGTGAGAATCTAGATAGGCAAGGCAAAGTCTGTAGTGAGGAAATATCTTAACAGTCAGGCTTCTGGGCACACAAGTACTTCTGCAGGCCATCAATTTTAAAAGCAGAGAAGCTGGATTTGAACTGGCTCTGGAGACAAAAGAAGAATCTGTGAAAGTGGTTTGAACATTTGATAATTTATTTTCATATACAGGCTGCCTACTACAGTTTGGGGAGGTGGGACACAGAAAGTCCTTAGAAAACAGCATCTTGATAAGTGAGAGAAGTAGCCAGGAAAGAGGTGATGGCAAGAGCGAGATGTGGGTCATAGTGTCCAAAAAAACCCAAGCAGAAGGTGTCTCGGCTACCAAACTGAAATGCAAGGGCTGACATAGACACATCAGACTGGAAAATTGTTTAGTGATTAGGCTTCGGAGTACAAAACAAAAATATAGTCCAAGGTTAAAGGCAAATCTGTCCCTCTTGGTATTTTCCCTACGGCCTAAAACATACAGCATGTATTTTATTCTTCCTTACAGGCTTCCTTTAAAAGTGCATCTCTCAATTAGCTTAAATCTTGGAGGGGAGCGGAAACCAACAACTCATACAAATTTTCCTTACGAGGCCAAGCCATTCTGAATATCACTTCAAAATGAGTAAACAGGTCAGCTTTTAAACAGTATTTGAGGAGCAGCCACGTTAATAGCTTGTTCATCTTGCATTACACATAAACCAAGGACTAACAAGTCAGTAAGGTGTGGGCCTGGACTTTTGCCTGCTGCAAAACAATGAAATACACATTTTTTGTCTTAAAAACAGAGGCATGTAGTGAAGCAAGCTTGGATTCTACAAAACAAATCCTGAACTTACACTGAGGGGATCCTGGCTTATATTATTAATATTCAAAGACAGAATATGATCTTTGCTGCCCACGTAGATCCGATCCTGATCTTCATCCATGAATAATATCCTGTAATCCAGGGGACTGTGGGATATTCTGTGATATTCAGAGGTCTTAGTTTCTTGTAGCTCTGAAATAGTAAAGACAACAAGTTAGTAAAGGGGTTCAGTTGCCTTTCTCGCTTTATAACTGCATTTCTTTCTAAATAGAGGCATCTTTGGAACACATGTGGGGACAATAAGAGAAGAAATCCCCTCATCAGACAATTAGTACTAATGCAATGGTTGAGTTAAAACAAATTTTCCTTTCCCAGTTTGAATGCAATTCTTTTGTACGTTAAGTAGCTAGACATATCTCATAAAAATCAAGCATTGCAGTTATTCATTCATCTAATTAATTCTTATTTTAATGGATATGATTATTTACAACTTTGGCTTTTAAGGAAGACCATATATTAAATTAATCAATGCGTTCGATACATTTTGAAGTTTATGACAGCAGAAAATCTACAGGCTCAATGAAAACTACATAAGAACAGTTTACTTTCTTTTCCTAACTGGGGGCTTCACGAGGAATAGGTTTTTATAATTTTCAAGGTCAAATATATTTTTAGTTCTTCATCACCATGCATGGCTTATTTAAAAGAAAACAAAAATATGTATTTGGTCAAACCTAAATGTGCCCATTTTTTCAGTTGTTTGTTTATGGGATTTGGACCAAACTATCAGAACTGTATTACTTTCTTCAATGAAATGAAGAGGAAAACATCCTTTGATCTCAGTAGTGCAGGATCAGGCCTGTTACAGGAAGAGCAGAAGCATCTGCAATGTAAGTATTACTTGCTGTCCTTGAGAGAGCTTAGACTTCCTGGCTTTGCTTGGCCAGTATGTTTTGGCCCCCACACAGATTCTTTTTCTTTTCAATAATAACAGAAGGGATATTTTTCAAGAGCTGAGAATGTTAAAATAGAACTTTAATAATCAATTTGTCATTATTCAAATATTTAACATATAATTATGCTTTCTTACCTCATGAGCATTAATATTGGATTGTGTTCCCTGTGACTCTAAAAGGGTGGCAAATACAGAGTACATATGAAAATGAAGCCTTGCTATAATGTTTTTTCATAAATCTAAAAACTGAATCCGTGTCCCTTTCGCAAACTGTTGGTCTGTGACAGTATGGCTTGTCACTGTTGCTAAAGCCTAGGTTTTGCTGAAAGCAAAATTTTTGCTCATTAGTTCCTTATAGAAAGCAGTAGATGTCCTACCCAAAATTAATCATCTAAGCCTTTTAGATGACTAGATTAATGTCGGCTAATGATATTTTTTGAAAACAAAACTCTCAATCCAGAAATATTTCTGGATATGTGCTCTGTTTAAAAGAAAAAAAAAAAGTGTGACTAAAGTCTGCACTTTGTGTAAAACACATATTAGCTGGAAGCATAATTTTTTCTTTGAAAACTACCGGGAGAGCAATTTTTGACAAGCTGTAGACAACATACAGGCAAAGGCTGCAGTCTTGGTACTTACACCTGTCCACTACCAATCTCATGACTGAAAAAACACTTATCAGAATATAATTTGCATTGACAAATATTATACATAACTCCACTTGATTTTTATCATGATTGCTAAATAGTTTTACAGGAAGACAAAAAATATCTTCAGTTACTGAAATATATGACATTTTTGATTCACTTAGATGTGTAACAGCTTTCAGGATCTCAGGGTTGCCTACATGCATTTATTTATGGTAATGTTAAAAAAATTAACAAATAATATTTCTATCTCATATGTCCCTCAGTAAAAGATAAATGTACAATCAAGATTTACAGTTTGCACCTAAAGCTTAAACTGAAACAGAACTCATTAAACAGATATCAAAATTGTCCACATCACTTGCAGAAGTCTCTCTTCAGTGGTTGAAAAATCAACTGGTTTACTTTATTAAAAAAAAATACACCCTGTAAGCTTTTGGCTGCGATTTTCAAAGGCACCTGGGACAGTTACCAGCATAGTGCCATTAAAATGCAGCCCCTTTGCCCGCTCTGAAACTCTCAGACTATCCTTTCACAACAACCCTGAGGAGCTAGCGCTTATCCCTTTTCCTGGTGGCCTTATTAACTTTACTGTAATATTTGGCAGCTGTAGAGTGAAACTGAACCTCCTCATAACTGTATATTTGATATACTAGGAAAGCACAGATAAACTGGGAGAGGCAGCAGTTTCCAGCACAGCACAGGGTAAATGTGAGCACAGTGACTGCACAACATAATGCCCCTCATTGCTTCAGTGGCTGACAATGACCGACAATGAATAAACCACGACTGACATAAAAGATGATCAAGATTACAACAAATGATTTTAAGCAAGAGACAAAAATAGCAACAGATATTTGATTTCCACAACTTTCATTTATTAAAATCCATTATTTTCCTGCCTTTTTAACCTCTTTGCAATGGTATTGTTCTTTCTAAGGCACCTGAAGTGTAATCTGTCTCCATCAGGTTGCTGATGAGAAGAACAACTTATGACATGTCACTAGACCACAGAAACTCAACGCCACTCATAAGAGGAAGGAAAGCTCTGAAACAAATACTCTAATACAGATTTATTAGTTTTATTTCTTTCAGTGCTGAAGCTTACAGTTTATGAGCCTCTAGGGCTGCTCAAGCAAGTGGGGAGGGAATTTACAACTGATCAAATTTTCTTTTCATTTAACAAAATCTATCACACAATCACCCAAGAAAATTTGATTT